TATATATAGAGAGAGAGAGAGAGAGAGAGAGAGAGAGAGAAATGAGGAATTAACTTATTGTAAGAGTAAGTCTTGGTAGATTTATTCCACTTAATAACTCATATTCTACATTAAATTTGAACGACCTATTAAATTAAAAGTTCTTAATGTATAAATCAAGTTTGTAAATTTTTAAAAAAATTTACAAATTATTTAATACTTCATTTCATTAATTCAAATAGACAGATAATCATAAAAATATTTTATATGTTGATTTGAATATGTATCAAGAAGCATCATGTGATTTTCAAATTTTTTAAAAATTTGTAGACTTGATTTATGCATAAAAAACTTTTAATTCAACAGTTATATTATTGAAATTTGATGTAGAACAAGAGTTATTAAGTGGAGTAAGTCTACCAAGATTTACTCTTGGAGTAAGTGAATCTCACCCCTCTCTCTACTAGGATTCATTGACACTAGGTGTAAGTCTAAAAATTTACTCCAAATCTTATACCTTCAATAAATTTTTTCAGAATGCTTTGACACTAGACATAAGTCTAAAAATTTATTCCAAATCTTATACCATTAATAACTTTTTGTACAATACAAATTAAATTGCTCAAACTGTTGAATTATGTGATATTATACTCAAGATTATGTATTTTAATTTTCACATGATTTAAATTTTTTTTATATATTTTATCAAAATAGATATTTAAACATATTTTAAATGTCATATTATACATTAAAATAAATCAATATAATGAAATACTAAATAATTTTGGGATCATTTGAAATTTTATATGTGTGATCTTCAATATAATATCACATGATTCAACAGTTAAATTTATTGAATGTATAGAATTTGGTGTAACTTTTTAGACTTACATATGATATCAATAGGTCCTAACTCATATATATATATATATATATATATGTATATATATATATATAATAATAATAATAATAATTCATGTACTACATTAAATTTTAATGATTCAACTGTTGAAATTAAAGTTCTTAATGCATAGAACAAGTCTACAAATTTTAAAAAAATTTAAAAATTATTTGATACTTCGTTTCATTAATTCAAATTTATAGATAATTACAAAAATATTTTATATGTTGATTTGAATTAATGAAATGAAGTATCAAATATTTTTCAATTTTTTAAAAATATTTGTATGCTTGATCTATGTATTAAGATTTTTAAATTCAACGGTTGCATCATTAAAATTTGAGAACGAAAATAAGTCTAGGTAGACTAATTTCTAGAGTAAATGGATCCCTCCTCACACACACACATATATAAGGGATCCACTTATGCCAAGAATAAGTCTACCTTGACTTGCTCCACTCAATAATTCATGTTCTACATCAAATTTTAACTAATCAATCCTTAAATTAAAAGTTCTTAATGCATAAATCAATTTTACAAATTTTTTAAAATTTTGAAAATATATAATACTTTGTTTCATTAATTTAAATTGATGGATAATTGTAAAAATATTTTATATGTTGATTTGAATATGTATAATGAAGATATGGTTTTTCAGTTTTTTTTTTAAAAAATTGTAGAATTTATCTATGTACTAAGAAATTTTAATTTAATAGTTAGATCATTGAAATTTGATATAGAACATGATTTATTGAGTGAAATAAGTGTATCCAATCGTTGAGAGAAAGAGGAGGAATCCACTTACTCCACTCAATAACTCATGTTTTATGTCAAATTTTAACGATCTAATCGTTAAATTGAAAGTTTTTAATGTATAAATCAAATCTCCATATTTTTAGTTTTTCTTAATTTTAAAATATTGTGTTACTAAATATCACATCACTTAAGTATGTATAAGTGTTAAAACTTAATGATTAATAGATGTTAATTTGATAATAAGACTAAAATTTTGTATTTTTAAGTTTAGAGTACTAAATGCCTCTATTTTAAAACAGAAAGACCAAAATTATGAATTGATAAAAATAAAAAGAGCAAAAGTACAATTTAATCTACATTTTTTTTCTCAACTTCTCATCTCTTTTAATTTATCATCATTCTTATTTTTATTTCTAAATTAAATATCAATTTTTAAAAGAAATTATCAACAATAAAAAATAATTTTACATTATAATGTAAATGATTTATTATAAAATTAAAATATAATTTATATATAAAAGTTATCTCATTGTACATGTTGAAATACTATTAGTAGTTGATATGTAAATTAGACTTGCATTAACATCAGTTGAAAACCTAAATTTTACAATAGTGACTACATCCAATCAAATTTAAATTAAGTACCTATTTATAATTAAAAAAATATTTTGATTGTTTATATTAATGATATTTATTATATAGATATTAATGTAGCAGCTGATGTTATTAATGTAATAATTTTTAATAAAAGAATAGATAATTTTATTTAAATAGTATTAAATATTATATTAAATATAATGTAGGTTATTAATGTAATAATGAATTGCTCATATCGTAAAGGGCTGTGCTTAATTTTAAATTGCATTTTTTTAAAATGTACTTTTTTTTTAATGAGGAACAACCATTATAATTTCATTTTTTATAATGATATATCATTTTAATGGTCACACTTTTACTAAGAATACACTTAACAAATAATATCAAATAAGTCAAATAACCTTTTTTATATCATTTTCACACAATTTTTTCCCCTTATTTTCAAAAATTTTACATACTTGTTTCTTTACTTCTAAAATTTCTCACAATTTGTTCTTAGTTATATGGGTAACGCCATGTTGGTGGCCTATTTTAGTGGCTTGTGTATTGTTTCGTTAGTATTTAATAATGTCATGTCATTTATCAATTAATTAAAATTTACATTTAGTTAAAAATATCAAAATTGGTTAGATTGATGAAATAGTTCGATATAAGACAGATTTTTTTATTTTTTATTTTAAAGTTTAAAAAGAATCAAGTTAATTTGATTCAGCTCAAAAGATTAACAGCGTGTTTGAAAAATCATTTTTTTAACAAAAACGTAAAAACATATTTTCTAAAATATAAAATTACAAAATAACTATTCCTATTTATGTTTACAAAATTTTAACGATAAAACAAACACACACTAAATAAGCCATGTCAAGTAAGTGAAAATTTTGTTCAAAAAGTACGATCCTATTAAGCCAATATTTTTCCTTTTTATATTATATATAATTAAAATTTAAAATAAAACAAGTTATTCAGGTCTGGTCCAATTCTCTTACTTACTCGATCGAAATTTACCGATTTGACAACTCTGCATTCAACTAACATAAGAACTAAATTCACGACTTTTTTAAATATAGTTTAGAATGTAAAAGAAAAAATAGATATTGTAACAAATTTTGCGAGATGATATAAGTTAGAGACACGCGTGCAAGTGTGCAAGTGCAACTATGTCCCAAAAAAAAAAAAAATTAAAAACCTCTGATGATATTCGCAGTTGGAGATGATCTAAACACTTGGTTGTTGTAGTGTTGGAAAATTTAAGTAACATCAATTAAATTTGAGCAAGTTTTTCGAAATTAATGTACCACCAGTGTAAAGTGACAGAGTAGGTCAAAAAATGAACGCGTAAATAAATATTAATATCACTTTCTTAAAAAAAAATAAAGATTTATTTTGGGAAATAAAATATCTTTTCTTATGTTGCTGTGTTTGCGTCACACTTCCATTTACGGTTACTGCTGCTTCCACTTTAATTTTCATTCAGGAATCAGAACTATATATGCATGAGATTGGTTAACACACATTCTCACATGTCACACAAAAATCTTCCAACTGCAGTCTTTGGTTTGCTTCCTCTTTTTCTTCTTCCTCTGCTGAATTGCTTTCAGTTACAACCTTAGCGTGCGTGTCTGAATCTTATTTACCTTACCCTCTTCTCTTCTTTATTACTACATCATTTTACTCATGTAACTGATATTTGATTAAGGTACCATCTCTCTTTGCATGTGATGTCCAACAACTTGTTACAAGTATTTTAAACCATTCCCATCATGGTTTCTGTCATGGAATCTCGTTAATTTTGCGACTCTGTTCGTGTTCTGTCTTGCCCATTTATCTCAAGCGTTTCTGAGTTGTAACTAATGCAGCTTATGATGGGTTTCCGCTAATTTGTTTGGACTGTTCTCCAAGGCTATACCTTTAGAATTCAATTTCAGTTTGAATGTGACAGACAAACGTGAATGTTTAATGTTTACGTTTGGTCTCGCAGAATGATGATTATATGGAAGGTTTCTGTGGTAAGATAGTGAAAGAGGTTTTGGATCTTGGCTTTGTCATGGTCTAACTCTGCTCTTCATTTTCTGCCTATGGAGAGTGTTTGTTATTCATTTGCTAACTTCTCATTCTTTTGCCAGTCTTAACAATATATCCAGAACATTTTCATTGTTATTCTAAATGTGAATTCATCATCTGGATTCGTTTATTCGTTTTCCGGCCTTATTCCTAAATCTAAGAGATGATTATCCTTTTTTTCTTGCTTTCCTATTTAGGAAGAATAAGACATGTAGGTTTTGCCTCTCCCTGCTCAAAGTTTTGTTATAGATACTTTTACTAAGCAACTTTAATCACTATTTGCCTCTAGAGTCACTTGAAGTGATTCACCATCTTCCACTCACACCTTCTGCTAACCAAAACTTAGACCAGTATTCATCCCTTGATATTCCAATACCTTCATGGAAGAAACATTTGTTCCCTTACGCGGGATCAAGAACGACCTCAAAGGAAGACTTGTGTGCTACAAACAAGATTGGACTAGTGGATTCCAGGCAGGCATCAGGTTTGTGGTATAAATTTGAAGATTTTGATATTTCAATCTGACTAGCTGCCTCAAGTTTGGAACCAAGAGCAGCTCCCTCTATAAAATAACAATAATAATACATAACTATTGAAAATGGCACAACAAATTAAAGTTTGTCATATTAAACTCGGAAGAAGATTTGTCAAACACTTAATTTTGATGTTGTGTGATATAGGATCCTTGCCCCAACTACATATATATTTTTTGCTTCAGCAATTCCAGTTATCTCTTTTGGAGAGCAACTAGAGAGAAACACAGGTACAAAGTACAATACTTTTCTGATTCATGGTGTCCTTTTTGGTATTTTGGTGGTCCTTTGCTAAGAAATGCTTCATTGATTCTATTCTATATAGATGGAGCTCTAACTGCAGTGCAGACCCTTGCATCAACCGCACTATGTGGCATTGTCCATTCAATCTTTGGCGGGCAGCCCCTCCTCATACTAGGTGTAGCCGAGCCAACTGTTCTGATGTACACATTCCTTTATGACTTCGCAAAGGATAGAAAGGATTTGGGTCACAAACTATTCCTTCCTTGGACTGGATGGTATCTCTTGATTTCCTTCAGTGGTTATTTATTGAAAGGAAATTACTGTTAAACTGAAGCAATTTTCTCCACGTTTTTTGATTTTTAGGGTGTGTGTTTGGACTGCCTTGTTGCTCTTCTTGCTGGCAATTCTTGGTGCATGCTCCATAATCAACAGATTCACACGCCTAGCAGGTGAACTATTTGGTCTGCTAATTGCAATGCTCTTTATGCAGCAGGCAATAAGGGTGAGTATGCACCAACCATGAATAATTTTTCTAAAGTAATCTGAAATTTGGATATTTGGATCATATATAGGTGTTCTTTATTTACAATTATCAAAATTAAAACTCCTGTTTAATAATAAAGACAGTAATCTCCATCTTAAAGGGACTTGTGGAAGAGTTCGGTGCAGCCCAGTCCAAGAGAGAAGTTACCAATCAGATTGCACTCCAATCCTCTTGGCTGTTTGGAAATGGAATGTTTGCTTTGGTTTTGTCATTCGGCCTTCTGTTTACTGCACTAAGAAGCCGTAAGGCTAGATCCTGGAGATATGGAACAGGTATTGCTTGTACTTCTGAATCCTGATTTAAAGATTCAGAAGGGAATTGGATGTATTTCAAGATATACAAGTTTGTTGTGGCTTAGATAAATCACTTTTGTTACCTTAGGTGCTAGCTATTCAATCTATTTCCATTTTTCTACATTAATTTAAGATTGTCTTTCTGGTGATTCATTTTTGCAATAAAAGTTGTTTGTCTTATCATTATAAATTCTAATAATTTTGATTATGTTATAGGATGGTTGCGGGGATTTGTAGCTGATTATGGAGTCCCACTAATGGTTCTTGTGTGGACTGCTGTGTCTTATATACCTACCAATAAGGTTCCAAGGGGAATCCCAAGGCGACTTTTCAGTCCAAATCCATGGTCTCCTGGTGCATACTCAAATTGGACTGTAATTAAGGTCTCTATGATTATTTAATGTGGATATTATTCTACGGTAGATGATAGTTAATGTCACTTTAGATTCTTTAATGTGGATATCGTTTTCCCCTGAAAAGCATAGTTATTTGCTCATTTTCCTTCTATTTTGCAGGAAATGTTGAATGTGCCTCCCATGTATATTATTGGAGCATTTATACCAGCAACCATGATTGCTGTGCTTTACTACTTTGATCACAGTGTTGCATCACAACTTGCCCAGCAGAAGGAGTTCAATCTAAGAAAACCCTCATCTTATCATTATGACCTTCTCCTCTTGGGCTTCCTGGTATGTTATTTCTCTGAAATACTTTGGAGGTTCATTTGCAATGCCAGAAAAATGCCAAGATATATCCTTTTGTGTATAGACATCTAGCAAATAATTTCCTTTTAAAATCTTTTTCATGGTTTTTGCCAGACCATTTTGTGTGGGCTTATTGGAATACCTCCATCCAACGGTGTGATTCCCCAATCTCCAATGCATACTAAAAGCTTAGCTACTCTAAAACATCAGGTAATATATTGTTCTTACCTTTGATATCTCCATAGCTCTACTGTTAATCATGATTCATGAATCTCTTTTTCCTGCTAATTTCTTTGTTTATTTTGATAGACAAATATATATATATATATAGGAAGCATATCAAGTGAGAGGGAATTTATTGTGAGAGGTGAGAGGGTTGAAATACAACCCTTAGATTAATTTTCTTTCACTTGATTAAACTCCAAATTTTTTCTCACTTGATTAATCTAAGGATTGTATTTCAACCCTCTCACCTCTCACAATAAATTCCCTCTCACTTGATATGCTCCCTATATATATATATATATATATATTTATTTATTTATTTTTTTAATTTAATTTTTTTTTTGGTAGAGTTACCAGAATCTAACTATCTCTTTCATTCAGATTTGTGGTTTTATAACTGTCTTGGATACTGATTTGATTATGCATGCTATTAATGAAAAGTAACGATTAGTTCCATTCTGAAACTAGAGCTATCTTACCCTTTCATTATCTCTTAATTCCTGTCTGTCATTATTTCTCTAGTTTTTATTTTATATGTACAGACAAACTTTGATATCCCATTTTGCAAAGCTTTGCTTCCCAATAGCTATGCTAATTGACAATCATTGCTATTTGTTTGTTTGGAATAGCTCTTGCGGAATAAGCTTGTATCGGCTGCACGAAAAAGCATACAGAAAAATATGAACCTTTGTCAATTATACCGAAGTATGCAAGAAGCATATGATCAAATGCAGACTCCATTAGCTCACCAAATACCACCAGCCATGGTAAATATAATCCTGTGATTTCCAATTGAACTGAAATTTGTGATCTTTTCTCACCTTTATCCTATACTTTTTTCTTCAACCAGGGGCTAAAGGAGTTGAAGGAATCCACCGTTCAACTGGCTTCAAGTCATGGATACATTGATGCCCCTATTGATGAGGTTGTTTTTGATGTGGATAAGGATATTGATGATCTTTTGCCGGTTGAAGTTAAAGAACAGCGTCTCAGCAATCTGCTGCAGGCATTGATGGTCGGGGCTTGTGTTGCTGCTATGCCTCTTTTGAAGAAGATACCGACTTCAGTGCTTTGGGGTTACTTTGCTTTCATGGCAATTGAAAGCTTGCCCGGAAATCAGTTTTGGGAGAGAATCTTGTATCTTTTCACTGCTCCGAGTCGAAGATACAAGTATATCTATACTCATATCCAATTTTATCTTTTCCACCTAGGATTCATAGATTTAAATAGTGTCAAAGATTTCTTCCAGCATCAACTTCCTACTTTTAGTGCATAAGAAGCATGGATTATTTGTCATTTTTAGGATTCCACTATCTGTTTATTTATTTATTTGTTTTTTACTCAAATATTGATGGGAAGTTGTTGACCTGTTGGGATTGTGCTCATTCCTAACTCCTACAACATAGATCCATGTTTAGATTAACATGTGTTTGCATGCTGATGCTTATTCGTCTTTAGCATTATCATTATATTTTTAAGGTTGAAGATGGTGATTCCTTTTCTTTTGTCTCTTTACTAGAGTGATGGAGAAACATCATGCGATATTTGTTGAGACCGTGCCCTTCAAAACGATTGCCATGTTTACCTTATTCCAGACATCTTATTTGCTTCTCTGCTTTGGTCTAACCTGGATACCAATTGCTGGGGTCCTTTTCCCATTGTTAATCATGCTTCTTATCCCAGTAAGGCAATATTTCCTTCCCAAATTTTTTAAAGCAGCTCATCTTCAAGAGTTGGATGCTGCAGCATACGAGGAAGCACCTGCTATCAGTTTCAACTTGTCATTCGAAGTAGGTAGTTTGAATCATTATCAAATTAGTATAGAAAGTCTTTCTTGAATTCATTGCATACTTGCATTCATAACTAAGAATGCATAAAACATGCTCCGAGTTAATCCTTATAATTAGGTTTATGCAAGGATTGATTTTCTTTTTCAAACACGATCAATTTCTGGCTTGCAAATGTCTTTCTTTGGGCTTTTGTTGGGTGGATACAATCTAAGCTAGCTTAGACCACAAAATATTCATACTGCATAGCATTATTTTGCATGTTTATCTGTCAAATTGTTCACAGATTAATATTTATACACCTCACAGAATTCAGGTAGTCAGGCAACAACAGACAGTATTAATAGTGGGGAAATTCTTGATGAAATTATTACAAGGAGTCGCGGAGAGATCTGCCTCAAAAAAAATTCAAGGTGTTCAACTCCAATATCACTTGGAGATGCTATAACCACTTATGGAAACATCTCAAAGGATTCACAGCCATTGAGTAACTCAACTGAGAGGGGAAAACAGCCTAGGATCAATTATGAAGGAGATCAAGTTCAAGATAACTACTAGTCCACGGCCATCATTTCTTGGAAAAGAATCCAACGGTTCACCTTCAAGCTAATATGGTATCCTTAAGTTTGACGAAAATAGTTTTAAGTGATGCACTAGAGGTCACGAGCTTGATTTATGTAACGGAAGTCGACTTATAGATGTTTGTCTTTGACTCTTCTTCCTTTCAATCTCTTACCATATTAACTACATTATTCCTTAATACAAAAGGAGCAGGGGTAGTTTCAAGTTGATGGATAGATTGTATTGGATCTAACTGTCTTAAGTTTATATATGTGTAATTCATATGTAAACTGCAAAAAAAAGCAATGAAGGGATTTGGAAGCAAAGATTCTTATAAATATTATGCTACTATATTTGACTAAATACAGCATTGCAAAAATGTGTAATTAGTTGGCTGTGAATCATATACCTTGCCTTATCAACTAGTGAAACATATGTTCTCTGCTGATTTGTTGCCAAATTTACTGCATATGTTCCGTAACATATGTAAAAGGTTTAATTATAAATTTGGTTCTTACACTAGACACTATTTTTTGTTTTCGTCTTTACATGAAAAAACTCCATACCGATTTGTTGCCAAATTTAATGCATATGTTCTGTACCATATGTAAAAGGTTTGATTACAAATTTGGTTCTTACACTTGACACTATTTTTTGTTTTAGTCCTTACATGAAAAAACTCTATAATTATATGAGAAAAAAAATTAAAATGAACCCCAGCGTTGATGAATGATAAAAGTTAGAATAGTATACATAAGGACTTAAGTTCGTCACTATTTACCAAAGATATGATAGAGTTAATGGTGTTTTTCATGTAGGGATCAAAATGAAAAATTATGTCATGTGTAGGCTAAAATGTAAAGATTTTAACATGGAGATACTAAAATGAAGTGTAATTTTTTTCGTGTAGGGA